TGATGAAGTTTAAAGACTGGCCTCATCCTAAGCTGCTGCTGGAATTATTAACAACACCTTATAGTTTGCAGTATACTGACGAGATGGGAAGGTCATTGTATGAAGACAAATGGTTTCATCAAATTTTGTCTTGCCACATAGGACAGGCCCCGTTTTAACCCAATCAAAACCCACCCATGGCACAGAGTTAAAATTGGGCCCAAGCAATCACAGTGAGCATGAAAGCTGGCAGGTGTTGTGGACTTTTGCAGGGCACATAGTGCCATTTACCGTGTGCGAATTACTCGTCATGAATATTGCTTCTCACGCACTCAAGTCAATGCTGTTACATCTCTGAACGGAAAAGGATTTCACTTCCTGAATGTTCAGCTGCTATGTTCCATACACATTGCATTGTGCAGAACAGTGTCTGGTATCCTAGTCATAGTCAAAAATGCATTCATTCTATGACTGTTGGCTTTCAACCACTACAGCAACGGCTATCTGCTGATATGATTGATGGCTAATGACCTATAGACATGAATGCAGCTGACAGAAAATAGGAGACATCCAGCCACAAGATACTTGATAGTGCTGATTACTGCAGTATGGACGCAATGACGCTGCTACCTTTACTGCTCTATAGTAGTGTTACAATACTGCGTTTGGCAGGACAAAAGGTTTGGAATCCTTCATGCTGGACAAACTTGCCATCATCACCAAAGCTCACATTCCAATCCAAATTTATAAATTAAATCATACAAATTATGAATAAGAATAAATGAGTATTACTGATAAAAGAGACATGGTGTCAAAATGTTTGTCTTGAAGTGATCAGGACAGAATCACAAGAATACCAAATTTCAAAGGGAATGACAATTTATACTGCATGAGAAGAGGGTGCTGACTGGTTAACAACTGGACTCTGATTGGTAAAGGCATTGCTATGGAGATTGCACCAAGGAACAATTCAATCTCCAGCTTTTGTCTAAATTCAAACCAGGTAAGTCGATTCGGATTGGTCAAGGCATTACCATGGGAAATGCACCAGGGAATGGCTGTTCCCCAAGCAAGAATAAACCAATCACCATTGTGCATTGCTTAGTGCCTGGTCTTCCATCTGTCTTTTTCTATCCTAGCGATTCTCAAGGTGCTGCCCCAGTGACTGCAGCGATGCTGCTGAAGGCAGCTGATTTTCAGCGCAGGATTCTAGAGATGATCTTGAAATATACTGTTGATGAGCTGTGTCCTTAGAAGGCCTCTACATGTTGGGTTGGCTGGCAGACAGATAACAGCAAGGGCACTGGCAGAGTGACAGTGTTGGGATGATGAACATGTCACCCAGAGTGATTGCAGCAGCATGGAGCTATTGCCACTCTGCAATCTGAGTAATAGGTTGGAGAAAACTGCTGGACTACAGTGACACCAGAAGTCTCTATGAGCACTAATATCCAGAGTCATGGTGCATGGAGTCTCAATTCCCACTGCAGCACTTAGAAGTGGATGTTGCAACGGAAGCTGAGACTTCAGTTATCGGTCTCTGCTTTATGCTTGCTTCCATGAGTACACTGGTGGAGTTCACTACCTGGTCCATACTGGAAAAGATGTTGTTGCAAGCTTTGAGCAAAGCCCCATGCCACATTGGTGCTGAACTGCTCCTGGCTCAGTGATAGAGTACACAGAATTTCAGGTTTCCCAATGCACCAAGTATATCAGTGTGAATGCTCATCAGCCTGTCAGTCTGTTTCTTTATGTCTTCCCCCTCAAAGTCCTGATTGGAGCAAAACTTATGTGTAAGTTTACTATTTGATAAACTAGATCCTATGCTCACCTACTTTCACAGTGCTCTGCCTACAATGCATTTTTTCCCCCTGGCGTCTCACCATATGCTGATGCCACCACAATTCTCTATAGTGCATACAGTGTCAGTATCTGAAATGGCAGCGGTAAGTCTGAAAACAAGGTACTCCTATGCTTCCTCCTGCTCTATCACCACTTGCTGAACAGGTTGTAGTTCTTCAGTTCATTTGTTCTGAGAAAAAGACAATCAGTTGGTTGCGGTGATGGGTGGGGAGAAGTAAAGAAGTGCATGTTTATGCCTCTTGCAGCTAATAAATTAAAATAGAGATAGGGACGAGGGGCAAGTGGGATGTGAGAAAGAGGTTTAAGGATGAGGGTACTCTCATCTTAGAGTCATAGAGTCCTATAGCACCGAGACAGGCCCTTCAGCCCAAACGGGTCCATGCCGACCAAAATGTCCAGCCACATTAACCCCATTTTCCTGCACTTGGCCCATATCCTTCTATATCTTTCCTATCCATGTATTTGTCCAAATGCCTTTTAAATGTTGTTAATGTATCTGCCTCAACCGCTTCCACTGGCAGCTCATTCCATACGCGTACTACCCTCAGTGTAAAAAAAGTTTCCCTTCAGGTTCCCATGTTTTCTTTCCCCTCTTACCTTAAACTGATGACCTCTAGTCCTCAATTCCTCAACGCTGGAAAAAAGACTGAGTGCATTCACCCTATCCATGCCTTTCATGAACTTGTACATTTCTATAAGATCCCCTCTCAGTCTCCTATGCTCTAAAGAAACAAGTCCTAGCTTGTCCAACCTCTCCCTATGACTCAGTGCCTTGAGTCCTGGCAACATCCTTGTAAATCTTCTCTGCACTCTATCCTGTTTAATAACATTCTTCCTTTAGCAAGGTGACCAAAACTGAACACAACACTCCCAGTGTGACCTCACCAATGTCCTGTATAACTGCAACATAACTTCCCAACTTCTGTACTCAGTGCCCTGACTGATGAAGGCCAGTGTGCCAAAAGCCTTCTTCACTGCTCTATTTACCTATGACTCCACTTTCAGAGAATTGTGCATCTGAACTTCAAGGTCCCCCTGTTCCACTACACTCCTTACGGCCCTACCACTCACCATGAAACTCCTATCTTGATTTGACTTTCCAAAATGCAGCACCTCACATTATCTATATTAAACTCCATTTGCTACTTTTCGGCCCACTTCCCTAGCTGATCAAGATCCTGCTGCAATTTCTGATAATTTTCCTCAGTATCCACAATACCACCTATTATAGTGTCATCTGCAAAATTACTAATCATGCTCTGTACATTCTCATTCAAATCACTGATATAGATAACAAACAGCAATGGGCCTAGCACCGATTCCTGAGACATACCACTAGTCACAGGCCTCCTGTCTGACAAGCATCCTTCCACTATTACTCTCTGCTTCCTACTATCAAGCCAATTGTATATCCAATTTGCCAGCTCTCCCTGGATTCCATGCGATCTAACCTTCCAGAGCAGCCTACCAGGTAGAACCTTATCAAAGGCCTTACTGAAATCCATATAGACTACGTCTATCACCCTGCCTTCATCAACCTTTTTGGTCACTTCATCAAAGAACTCCAACAAATTTGTGAGGTATGATCTCCCATGCACAAAGCCACGCTGACTACTCCCAATCAAACCCTGTCTTTCTAAATGCATGTATATCTTATCCCTCAGAATCTTCTCAAGTAATTTACCTACCACAGATGTTAAGCTTACTCGTCTATAATTCCCAGCTGTTTCTTTGCAGCCCTTCTTGAATAAGTGCAGAACATTTGCTACCCTCCAGTCTTCCAGGACCTCTCCCATGGCTAATGATGATGCAAATATATTGGTCAGGGCCCCCACAATTTCTTCTCTGGCCTTTTGCAGGGTTCTTGCATATATGTGGTCAGGACCAGGAGATTTATCAACCTTCATATATTCTAATACTTCCAACCCCTCCTCTACTGTGATGTGGACTGTCCCGAAGATATCGCCACTAACTCACCCAAGTTCACAAGTCTTCATGTCTTTCTCCACGGTAAATGCGGAGGAGAAATATTTATTGAGGACCTTGCCCATCTCCTGTGGGTCCATGCGTACGTGTCCACTTTGGTCCTTGAGGGGTCCTATTCTCTCACTAGTTATTCTTTTTCCTTTAATATACTTAAATAATCTCTTTTTGGATTCACCTAATCTTCCCAGCCAAAGCTGCCTCGTGCCCCCTTTTCGCCTGCTGTTTTCCTTCTTCAGTAAACTCCTGTATCCCCTATATACTTCCTCTTCAATGGATTCAATAACCATTCTGGCCCCGACCTCAGAAATACCCTTCCAATAATGGACCATCACCAGCACCATCTACTCCATGGAAGATAGAATGTACAGGCTTTCGTGTCCTTTGGTAAGTTCCTGCGCCATTCTTTCCTGTAAAAGAAAGGGAGGTATGCCAATGAGTACTGGGCAATGTGGGTGATATCACCGCCATGGCTGAGTAGCTGACAGTGCGTTCAGTTTGTGAGATGTGGGTTGAGGATTGCAACTGTATTAAATGTGTGAGGATGGAGTGAAGCACACAGTGTTAATTGTAAATCCTGATTGGGAACTGAGAGCTGGGGTGTGGCGATTTAAGCTGAGGTGAGTAATACAATTGGTAGGATATGGTGTTTGGAGATGCATTCACTGATTTTGACCATTCAAGTGAGGTTATTAAACATCCTATGACCAATCCTTGAAACACCTGACATTAACCTTTGCAGTTCCTTGTTCCCACTGCATTTTCATTTACATCACCTCTACCAAGACTACCAGTGCAGAATCCAAACATTCTCTCATGGTTTGCATTATTTTCCCTTTTCTCTTCTTCTCCTTTTTCCAAGTCAGGTCTAATTGTGGGATGACCTCCAGCACCTGCTGCAGCCACAGTGCTCCTTTAAGAGTGCAGGCTAGCTTTAAGAAGTGCAATTTACCAACAATAGCAGGTCTCCAGCTAATGCGTCAAGTCAATGAACAACACACAAAATTCTGGCTGAACCTAGAGAGCATCATAATGAATAGTCAGCAAGTGGCATGCATTCCACTCAAGAGGCCCGGGTAACTCGTCTGTTGTAATCCCCCACCTGTTGTTGGATGCTAACCAATTATGGCCCAGAATTCTAATTAAAAAAACAAAAATGCAACCTTAAAACATACCAGATTATAATTGCAACCAGTCTCATGATGGCTTCATTAAGGCAGTCAAAAAACTCCTTCAGTGCCTGGCCTTGCTGTTTCATATTGCCGATTACCAGACCAAAAGCAATGGAGAAGACAACAAGACCCAACGCATTCACTGCATTGGACGAACCAGCAACTGGAATAACCTCCTCAACAAACATTAACTCCTGCAAATTTTTGAATGCTGCAGTGATGTTTTCTATCATGGGTGGTTCAGTGGTGGTTGTAAAATTGATAGATGATAATGTAGGTCTCAAGATTTTTCGTGTGCCATAATTTGTCTTGTACTGTAAAAGACAAAATAATATGAGTGTTACCATTCAGAGATTTACATTTCTTCTACTTTTTCCCCATTTGCCTCTTCCTTACTTTGGAACTTGGGAAAGGAAAAGAACATCCAATACTCTCAAGCCAATTCTATCAGCCAATTAGATCATGGCTGATCTGTACCTTTATTCCACTTACCCAACTTGCCTCCATAGTCCCAATGCCGGATCAGTAAAATTAATCAACATTACTCCTCTCTGGAAATGAGTTTCAGAAATGGAAGATGGGAGCAAGTGTCATGGACTCACAAAGTACATTAGGCAGCTGGGAACATTATCAACAAATGCATTCAGATGATAAAGAGGGTTGGAAACAGTCTTCCAATTCTTCTTTAACAAGATTCACTATAACGCCATACCTTACCTTCTCAGGTGATTTCTGAAGTTGATTTTTTTAAAGTCTCCTGAGAGTATGAAAATAATTTTTTGTCCTGATTCTATATCTTGCTAAACATTTTGGAACCTTGCTTGAACTGTGACACCTCCTCTGCTACGACCCTCTCTGGCTTTGTTGCTTTTGTTGTCACTTCTTCCTGTGTTACAGTTTGCCTTTGCTTGTCTCACTGAATCTCAGTGGATGTAACATTATTGAGGAGATGTCTGTGTACAGCTTGTTCCAGAGGGCATTCTGTTCTCCTTACACTGCCAAACATTGTTCTAATGTGTTATTGGTAGTTTCTTTAAAGGAAAAATAGCCCACATATTCTACCCGCACTTCTTATGTGTATAACTGATGCTTTGCAGTGTGTTCATTTTGTTTGGCACAGCTTCTTCAGAGGGTAAGTTGATGATGCTGATGGTAATGATATGGCTTGCTGTGCTGACATTAGCTGAAGGCTGCTGGGTCTGGAACAAGTCTCTCTAGAAGTGTCTGGAGAATTGCAATGTCCTTTAGATTTTAAGATGTTGTTCATCACACTCTAGTGGAGTCTGAACAGCAAACTAATTAATATGATGTATTTTTAAGGCAGCAAATATACATGTTATGACTGTGGCTGTGTGAATGCTCCCTGTGATGTAGACATGGACAGTTATTAAAATAACTAAGTTAATACTGAATACCAAATAGTAGAGATATGGATTTAAATGTATGTGTTAGATTCCTGTATGTTCATTCCTATGTGTTATTTAAAGGCCGAGGGTCTTTTTGCTCTGAGTTTAATTAGTAAAAATCCCACGATTGCATTAATAATAATATCAGGTGCTACTGTATCACCTTACTTAGTTGGGACTATTTTGAATGTACTAATACACGGCTACCACAATGACTGCAACAATTATCATTATGAGTACTTCTGCAACTGTGAAGGAACTAAAGGCAAAAACATATCGCATGACTACAAGAAACTGACCTAAAAGTTACTGTCAGTAAAACCTACAGCAAGCTGCATTCTTTTTGAGGATAAAAATGGCAAGGTATGACATGGTTAACTCCCTTCACAACAACTGCTGATAAAGAATACAGATAAAGAATAATTGAGAGAGCAAAGTAATTTTCTGGGGACCCAGGTTCAAATCCCGCAGATGGTGGAATTTGAATTCAATAGAAAAAAAGTCTGGAATTAAGAGTCCCATAATGACCATGAATCCATTGTCGATTGTCAGGAAAAACCCATCTGGTTCACTAATGTCCTTTAGCGAAGGAACTGCCATCCTTACCGGGTCTGGCCCACATGCGACTCCAGACCCACAGCTATGTGGTTGACTCGTAAATGCCCTCTGGGCAATTATGGATAGGCAATAAATTCTAGCCCAGCCAGTGATGCCCACATCCCATGAATGAATAAAAAAAAACCCCAAAAAATACACACACCTAAAAGTCACTATCCTGCAGATCATTGTGATGACAGCTCATCCTAGAACACAATGCCAGTCCAGATAGGTAAAACCACAATCTGAAGGGACCCACATACCGAGTCTTAATAATTTATTGGACACAATACCTTCATGAAACAGATTGACCAAAATGATTGTGGCCTAGACCTTGTTTTTCAAGAAAATATAAAAAAAAACTGTTCTTGGAAATTGACCAGGCAACCAAAGTACAACGGGAAAGCCTTCTCACAGAATATGGGATAATGATTAGGAACTTTCTATAATTGATGGAATGACCGTCTGCCAAGCCACCTTTAATCATATGACACCAAAAGAAACATTGCAAATATCACAACTTAATCTGAATGGTTAGATTTGTCAGCAGAAAGACATGGGTATCAGTCACCTCCCAGTTCAGACTCTTTCTGAACATTACAGATCTCAAACTCTTGGGGATTAAAGTAATACTATCTTGATGTTTGAACGCCTTATTTTTAAAATTCTAGTTTTTGTAATAAGTAAAGATTGAAGATTGGGTTCTCTCCTAGAAATAAGTCCTAGTTATCTTTTATTTTCAAGATATCAATTTAGCTTTGTGATTTATACTCTTCGTATAATGCATGCTTTCATATAATATTAAATTTAGGTGTTTACTTAAAGTTTAATTTGTTTCATCTAATCTTCTGTTTCAAATGTTTGGCAAATCCAACTGCTATTCCCTTTGGTGGAGGAATATTTTCTGAGGAGTTTTATTTGGACTTTTACAATGTCTGGGAAAATTACAATCTAGCTAAAAAAAAATGCATTTGAGACTATAGGGAAGAAGGGAACACCCTTAACTGGTTTCTTTTCTGGGGTGGAAAGCTAGTTGGACTCTTAGGGCTCAGACAGTATGTCCTAGAGGCAGCTCCTTATGGCTGAAGTTGTGGGAAATTAGTTGAGAGGTACATCTGATTCTTATGGCTCCAGGTGAGGACATATAATTATGAAAATATTTCGCAACAACTTTTCTGCACTTTACTTAGAATCACAAAAGATTTTTCAAGGGAGCAAAAGAGGGGTGCTACTCCTTGCCAAAGGAAGGAAAGTGTAGGAATTGATTGATAATGCAGAGGGCATAGTTTGACACAGAATTAAAATGATAGGAGAGAGGAAGCAAGGCATAGACTCAGAAAGGTCAGAGAAAGGAATTTTGGAGAGCAGTACCTAGGTAGCGGAAAACTCTGCAGCCAAAATGGTAAGATGGGACACTTTGGAGACCAAGATCATAAGACTGAAGGCTATAGGATGGAAAGTCAACCTTGAAGAGTTATCAGGGAGACTGGAGCAAGGCCATGTAAAGTTTTGCATACAAGGACAACTATTTAACATTGGATATGTTGAAAGGCAGGGAGCCATGTAGGCCAGTGAGAACTGAGATGTCTGAGGAGCATGATTCCACATGGGACAAGATACAAGCATTTTAGACAAGTTGGAATTTACCAAGCACAGTCAAAGTGAAATCAGCCAGGAGGGCATTATAATAATCAAGGTGTGAATTAACTCTAATGTGCAGTGGGAAATATAACTATCTGAATTATAATATTTTCCTACATATAACAGTGAAGTACAAAGGGATGGATGAAGTAACCTAAACGAAAACAAGAAAAATTTACTGAATATTTTTTAATGGTATATTTTTGGGATGCAAAAAGGTTCAACAAAAACATTTTTAAAAATGTCAGTGCCCAGTGGAGGATCTTTTGAATGTAATTGATTCCTTTGTGGGATTGATCCCATTGTTTAGAAGGATTTGGGCAGCCTTCTGGAGCCTCAGTGGGATAACTGCCAGCTCGTGGCGTAGGAACATTTGAGGACTTTAAAGGATGTACTAGCTTGAATAACCCCAGCCGCCAGAGAAGTTTCCCTCCTCTTGAAAAGACTAGGTATCAATTAGAAACAGACTTAAAATTGAGGCTTTGCTGAGTAACTACTCACCTGTTTGAAACAAGCCTCAACTAGATTGGGTGGGAACATATTCCTGTTGAATATAAAGGGTGAGAATTAGCACAGTGACAAGAGTTATGCAATTGTATTTCAATCTGTGCTGTGGCATGTATGCTTTTGCCCTACACTTTGGATTAAGAGAATGATAAAACAGCAAAGTAGGACATATAAGGCTGCCTTGGGCAGTTATATCAAACCAATCAAAAGCTATCATTTAGCAAGTCTTAGGTAAAATATTTTAAAACATATCTGAGTCACAAAATTAGGAGATGAAAAGCAAAAACAGTTGTGTTTGATAAATTACTGCTCTACGGAATGCCCTGAATTCCAGAAGTTTGCCTGGTATGAACAGTGTGAAGTAGGGTTTCACTGCAGCAGCTTGCTATTCCATCATTGGAAATTGGCTACAACAAACACAGAAAATGCTGGAGAAACTCAGCAGGTCTGGTAGCATCTTTGGAGAGAGAAACAAAAGTTAACATTTTGAGTCCAGGATGACTTCTTCATCTGAAGAAGAGTCATACGGACTTGTAATGTTAACTCTGTTTCTTTCTGTAGAGATGCTGCCAGACCTGCTGAGTTTATCCAGCATTTTTTGTGTTCATTTCAGATTTTCAGTCTCCACAGTATTTTGCTACTTTTGGCTAAAGTTATCAATAGGAACAAGTCAATTTGTTGGCTGTTCCTTTATTTAGCCGCCTCTCAATTGCTGCTTGGATACATTGTAGTGGGATCCAATTATTGTTGTTGTCCATCATGTACACTTGCTTCACTCTGAAGTAAAGAAAAATTGCTAGTGTCATCTTGAGTTTGCATGAAAGCAGGAATTTGCCATTGTTTACACATTGAGCAGAACTTGTGGCTTTTCTGGAGAAACATGACAATCTACTAATCCAGC